CCTTTTCTTCTCTCTCTCCTCCTCTCTCTCTCTCACCTCTCTTCCTGTTTTTCTTTTTCGAAGGAAACAAAAGGGGAGAGGAAATAGCGGGCAGAGTAAATCCCTCTCCTTTCGTCGAAAACGTTGTTAGCAGGGTGAATTTAGGTCGCGTGATTCTTTTCTCACCTCTCGCTCCCTCAACCCCTCTCGCAGGGATGGGTATATTGCATCTTCGAATTCGACGACTCGAATTCATGTTTCGGCTCGTCTTTTCTTTCCTCTCTTTTTATTATTATTGTTATTATTTTTTTTTTTTTAAATTTTTTCTTCGTGTTCGTCCAGTCGTGCTTTGAAGGGCGAAGGTGGCGATGAAGCACCACAACGAGTCTCTCAAGGATTTTTCTCGTTCGGTTGATCATTGACTGAGAAACGAGTATAATTGGGACGATTTGAGACGATCTGAGCAACGAAACACGTTGGATTCTGTGTATGATTATTGGTTATGAGTTATTTTATAACGCGATATTAGTAATATTATCGAGTATGCAAGAATTAACAATAAAATTCTCGTGCCCTGGTGTATTTTTAATAACGTACGTCTATGGTGGAAATGTATTTGCAATACCTTTTGCAACGAGAAAAAAAATAAAAAAAAATCCTTTTGAAAACCTGTCGAACTTAAAAAAAAAAAAAAAAAAAAATTACAGTATTAATAAAACGGAACAATAAAAATCGTATCGTGTTTAAAAATAACTTTTCAACATTTCATAACTGGAAAGTATAAAATATTTAATACGAAATAATTTACCCGAGTAAAAATAAAAAAAAAAAAAAAGAAAAAAAATACTCGATAACTTTTCATCGTCGAGCATATTAATTCGCTATGAACCACCTCTGTCGTTCGTAATTCCGCTTGTATTCGATCACAAAATTTCGTTTCCACGGTGTGTAATCGTCATTTTCGAAGGAACGAAAACAGATTAAAATTTCGTTCTAGAAATTCCGTTTCACCGTTTCTCGGGGATCGAAAAACTTGCAAAGCTGTTGCTCGTAAAAGAAGTATTCTCGATTCTTTTCGCTTTTTATCCCATTCGTTTGTTTTAAACGCGAATGCATGATTCCAGCAATTCGACAAATTTTTCCCCAGATATCCACTTGGCGCCATATTAAGCAACAAACTTTCAAACAAGAAGACGTCGAACGTCTCGTCGAAGTTTCTCAACGAATCTTCAATTTATTCTCAGCCTCCCTTCCACCCTCCTTCACCATCCGTCCCAGAAATCGTTCCGATTCTTACGCGATTTACCATCGCGCCTCGATTAAAGAGCTGCCCGATGCACTCGATTGATTCCCAATCGAAGTTGGACGAGCAATCGGCACGCTCGAACAACGATGTTATCGGTTACTTCGCCCGAGATGCCGAGTGGAACGAAATTTCGAAATGGAAAACGGGGAATGTCCGAATGGATGGTTGTAATTGATTAATTGATAACAGAGCCTCGCGCGACGATTCCATCTATATTTTTCGCGTTTTCAAATTCTTTCAACGAACGAATTATGATGAAATCGTAGGGGAGGAAATCTTAAGTGTTATTTCTCTTCCATTCGTATATTTTATTTCAAATATTCGTTTTAAAAATAAAAAAAAAAAAAGAAAGAAAAGTATATAATACCTCTGAACACGAACAAAGTGGACAATTCTGTTCAAAATTCTGAAGGTAGCTCTCACGATGAGAATAATAAAATTCGAGTAAATTCGAAATTCGATGAGGGAAGATGAAGAGAAGAAAGAGAACGTTTCGTCAGTAAGTTCGTAATAATAACGATCTAGTCCAAAGGTGAGAAACTTCGATGGGCCACTTCCACCAAACTAGGCCAACTTCTCGTTGGCGTGCACAGGCCAATGAGCCCGATGAGCCAATCGTGTAATCTATTATCATCGTCCACGTGTTTGCCAATAATTCGTCCACGGATCATTAATCATGGCGGGCAATCGAAACAATAATAGTCCCTGTTTTATATTTGCTTAGAGCTCGCTTAGCATATATAATTATTATTATGTCCGCGTAGATAGCAGGGCGGGCAATTGGAACAGGCCGATAATGACAAACTACACTTTGGCATGTTCGTGCAAGGAGGCGGTGTAAAAAAGTCGGGTGAAGAAGTTTCGCGAAGTAATTTTGCACCGTGTCATTGTTTACTAGAGTTGGCTAGAATTTTACTTTTTTTACGGCAGAATTATCTCTCCCTTATGCCATCACTCCTCCATTCGATTCCCGTTTTAACTCGGACAAAATTTATCCTCTCGATGCGAAACGCAGTGTTTCTCAACGCTGGAGATTAATTGCAACAATTACTCTTATCTCTGAGAATTACGAAAAATTGTCGCTTTCCTATTTTTAATTCTAATTCTATTTATATATATATGTGTGTGTGTGTGTGAAAATGAATGACAAAGGATTAAAATTAGGAGGACATTTATAGGGGAAAAAACATCGTATTTTTGCACGATTATAAAAGAGAAAAAGTGTGACGAGTTATAGCCATACAAATCGGTCGAGGAAAAATGTTTTGTCGCGAAGCAGTGGCCGCGCGGACAAGTTACAACAATAGAAGCCGAAGCGTTGTGTCTCGGCTAAAAATTTATCGCGACAGGGAGGAGGACGGAGGACGGTTGTTCGCGAGCGAATCAAAAATTCCAGTCGATAAAACAGTCGTGAAAATTTATCGCGGGGCAGGATAGACGTTTCGCTATCGAATCTCGAAGGGCAGAGAAAATATTCGTGGCTGATAAACGTGAGGATCGTCGCTGTTCCTACAAATTAATTCAGCGAAAACGATCGCTTGCTTTTTGGACACAGTTGTTAAAACTGAATTGTAACGTGCACGTTTCGGGCTTAGAGGCTTTCGAATATTGAAAAGTTGAGAATTTTCGATTGAATCGATGTTTTGCCGATGGAAAAAGATTGAGCCCGTTAATAATTGTAAGGGAGAGTGAATATAACGGTTGAATATACGGGTTAACTTATTATGATTTCTCGTTCCCTCTCGTTTGATATTTTGGATAGGGCTCGTGGCGTTTGGTTATGTAAAATAACGGTTTTTCGGTGTTATTTTAATTGCGAGTATATATGTGTGTGCGGATGAATAATTAAACGAGGGGTGAAAATATGTTTAATTAGTTCGAGCGTAATGGAATTTTTAAGACTTTTCCTCCCTCCCCCGGTTATTATAATTTTATTTATGCATATATGGAAATGTTATTAACAAATATATGTTGATGTTGTGCGAAGTTAAATCTATTTCGGTTAGAAATTTCGTAAAAATTCATCGTGTTACATCTATTTATTATAAGGGAAGCAAAATACACGATATATACGCTTCCCTCCACTTTTCATTTATTTTTCACGAAGTCGACGTTGATAATAATGGAACTTTGGATTTGAGCGAGATATTTAAATATATATATATATATATATATATCAGACAGGATTGTTTTAATTAAGATGGACACAATTTGTATTAAATTAAGCAAGCTATTCTTGAATCGATCAATATGAATTGTTAAAAGAGAAATAAAAACGAAATCGCGAAACGTTTCGAATTAAATGGAAACGAAACGATTGTGAACACGGAATAATTAACGAGCTGGTAAGATTTTTCGCGCAATCTACGGGCCGGAAATGGATGCAGACGACACGGTGGTTGGGCACAGAGGAAGAGTAGCAGACAGTTAGAGCGAAACTATTTTTCCCTTAAGTCAAGGCAAGAATCATTTCGAGTTGAAATGATTAAATATTCACGCGTTTATTCTTTCAAATTAATTTTAAATTGTATTAAATAAATCCTCCTTAAACGATAATTATTTTTCAGGAAAGAGGAAGAGAGCGAGATTTTTGGAGATTTCGATGCCCGCAATCCTATTTTTCCAAGGTAAGAAAATTATTATTGACAATTTATTTTTTACTAACTGAATGTTTCGAATCGTAAAGAAATTTGTTTTACTCGCACTTTTATTCTATTCAATATTGTTATTTCCATTCGCGAAAAAAAAAAGAGATTTGATATTTATTTATGCACTCGTAATAAGTAACATTTTAAGCTCCATTTCTTCTTAGACTTGTGTTCGTCTGATCTAATCACCATACGTGTAAAGAAAAATTCCAACAAAATAGATCTTAACTTAATCTCAACTCATTCCAGATCTTTCGAGTAAAGCGACGAATAGACTTTTCCGCCATTACTAGTCGTAGTATAAAAGTGACAAATAATCCCAAGGATTAATTGTCGATGGTTCCTCGTACTTTTCGCAGTATCTTTTTAATGCTCGATTCGAGGTCCTCCCTCTCTTTTTTTTTTTCGCAAGAAGCGCTTCCAAGACAAAAATTTCAAGAACCACTCGAGATAAGCTGGCCAGGAAACGGAGCGAAAGCTTCCCTAGCAATTTTCAGCGCAAGAACATTGCTGTTGCGTTATTCATGCGGACCTAAAGTAGCGTTCTTAAGAAGCATCTCGTGGATGACGTGCTGCTTTGTGAATTTTCCTACGGTCACTTTCGCATCGACGAAGTCATCCAGAATTTGTCTTGGAAAGTCTGAATATTCAAGCGGCTTGATGCTTACCCCTCCCCTCCCCGGGTGATAACAATAACATAATGGAAATCTCCCTAATAATTCAACGATTCGCCTGAGTTCTGAGAACCGAAATCGACAAACGTTACCCAATATTTCCTGTACTTTTAATTACACGTATATTTTAACTCGGATTAATTCGATCTACTTTAACCACGTGTGAAATTACATCTGATTTTCTATCTAGAAAGAAGATTGGAGAATTTGAGAAAATTGTAAATATTTTAAATCCTGAATCAATGCTCGAAAGCGCGATTTTGCTCCACAATTTCTTGCCTCAAAATAATTTAATTTCCTTTTCAGATCTTTCTCCGGAAAAAGCTACACGTCAAACAGTATCTTTTTCGCTCGATAGGGAAAAAATTCGAGCTAAAGAAGGATTAATTAAAACGCAGGATCACAAAAAAAAAAAGAAAAAAATCTAAACTCTACTTTCCCAACAAATTCGCCTGGCATCTGGGAAAAAAACGGAAAGAGCGGAAAATATAAAAATCCTCCAAAGGTCAGGCTCAACACCCGGGGAGGAACTCGTTTCACAATGACCTCAGAGAGCGGTTGAAGCTCGAATGCTCGACAGACCGAAACGCT